GTCACGATTCACGATTTCCTCAAAACATAAGTAGCTGAGGCTACATACGAACACCCGCGGTAACGACTGCGCCCGACATCCGCGGGAAATCACTCTCAAAGGTATAACGTCGCAATCTTGGATTCGCGGTCGATAACTGCGCGCGATATGGCGGCTCAATTACCGCGACTGTGAACTTTCGCCCCCCAAGACGACATTCCATAGCAACTTACGAGCGTATCGAGGTAAGATCCGGTATTGTGGTGCACGAGCGAGAGAAAGAGGATGGTAGAGAACGAGGATGGGAAAGAGAAATAGGGATTGAGCAAAAGCGAGAGCGAGAGAGAGAATTCGTAATGTTCTCTGTGCAACCGTAGGATGTGGGATATAGGAAAGGGCGAACGATGGGGGCGGAGAAGCGAGCACAGGAGCTAGAAACAGAGAGCCTTCTCTCTCTCTCTCTCCTTCTCTAGGGCGGAATCATAAATTAGATGCATAGGCACGTATATATCCCACCCCCTATTGTACCACTCCATTAAACATTCGTTGCAGTACACCGTTATAAAGCGAGATATAATCTCGCGATGCCGTAAACACCGGCGAGCTAAACGAATGCGCGGATCGCATCTACCTAGAGATGTCGCGGGGGCGGCGAAGGCAAGTTTAAACGTTTCACCGCCACGAGCAATGCTTACGGGCGTGGAAAGTAATTTAAGGAGCGATCAAGCTGTCGCCAGCAATGCGGCTTACATTCAACACGGCCCACGTTACGGTCGCACGGCAGATAACCAGACGACGACGACGATGACGATCGTGTACATATTTCCCTCTGAATAAATCGGCAATATCGCAGTAATAATAAGCCTCAATTTTGGTAAAAAGTAAACTGAATTTAATAATTAATCTGCTGTATAAATGATTTTATTATTTTTTCTCGAATGAGACTTTATTTTCTTTCGCTGCAATCTTCATTTTTAGATGTTCAAGTAATTCAATTTTTTGAAACCAACATTGGAGGAAATGATAACAATCACATAAAGATGGTAAAAATCGCGCGGTTAAATCGGAGGCGAAAAGGGAAACGACGATGAAGATCCATCTTTCGCGACGTTACCCGCTGGCGTTAAGCATGGCGCCGAGAGAGATAGCTACGAAGACTTTACAATTTATATTACAGCCTTGTAACGCGGACCTTCCCTCGCAAACTGTGAGATTTCCATTCGTGCGAGATTTACCGGTAAAGTTGTTGCCGCTCCACTATAAAATATTTAATTAGTTGTCTTAATGCCGCACTACCTGCCACTTATTTCTGTCGGCTCACCGAACTTTCGTGAAATACAACGAGGCCACGTAGCATAGCGCGTATATCACGCTAAAAAGAAATAATTAATATCCCCGTGATTACGTGTAGCGCGTGTATAAGTATACATATATGTGCGTGTGCATATATAAGTATATATGTATGTATGTGTTAATATCTCACTTCGGGACTTTCATTATCACCATCAGCAAATATTTACATTCATAAGATTTTCATCCCGCGCGGCGGTAGTTAGTCAAACGCTCTAGTTAATTAAATAGTTAATTAACTTTGTTGATGTTCATCACTTCCGAAATTTGTAATTTGCTGTCGCAAACGCTGGGATAAAGAGAGAGAGAGAGAGAGAGAAGAGGAGAGAGGGAGAGATAATGATGATTATGATGATTATGATTATAATAATGGTGATGATGGTAATAATGATGATAATGATAATGATTATGACGAGACACAGAGAGAGGGGGAGGGAGAAAAAAAGAAAGCTATATCGCTGACGTCACGGCACAATCGCCATAATTGCGTGAAACGTTGAAGCGTAACGAACGAGCATCGCCGCGAATTCCATGACACGTTGCGTGGACCACGCTCGGTGCATCGCGAAATATCAACACATCGATACATCAACGCTGGCGCGCTGTTGCAGAATGCACGGTGTAATCATGCGGAATAGCGCGTTATCAAAAATAGAATGACGGGATTAGAATCGAGTCGACACGCAGTGCGCAATCGTGAGAACACCGTCGCCGACATTGATTGGAATTTAGTATAGAGCGATAGGGACTAGTAACGGATCACGTTTCTCCAATTAAGCCAACCGGAATGTAAATCGGGTTAAGGGAATCCCTGTAGTGCGAGAGTGCGTGTGCTCGCGTTCGCTCGCTCCCGTCTACGAGATTCATTCGCAGAGCGAGCACGAACACCGGCGACTCATTGTTAAAGGAACCGTTGATATTAAGCGAGGGTCTCTAAAGCCACATCGGGGATACTTTTGCGTTGCACGGCCGTGCTGTGACGACGACGGGGGTCATTAGTCGACGCGCTACGTTAAGAGAGACCCTCGTCGTTGTCGTCGGGCGAAGCGTCACGGGGAGATTCACCGTTTCACTCCAACGTATCGATTGCAAAGATTGGCGGCGATAAAAAATTGAACGTCATAAAGATTGAGCTTGTTGAGATTAAGCGAGAGACAGCGCTCGCGAGCGCGAGAGACGCGACTCCACGGGGGACAGACGCGCGTCTCACGGATAAAAACTCATCAAAGTTCGCGCCAGCGAGCAAAGTGACGCCATTAGAAGTAATTTATCATTTAAAAGTGGCCGGTTTTTGCGCCTCGCCACGCTCAGCAAGCTGCGACATGTGCGGTATTAACTTTCTTATACCGGCATCCTCTTGACCTGTTTTCACCTTACGTGGCGCCGCGCGGCATCACGCGCATGCAAGCTGACTTGGCGGGCGTCACGTACGTACGTAACGACCGCATTATAATACAGGTATTTATCTGACATTACGTCGACGCGCAAATAAGCCGTACGTACTTCCCTTCATTCCCAACCCCCCACCATTCCTTACGCTTTTAATCGTCCGAAAATACACGCAATCATGATGACGCTGATGCGATATCTCGCGGCAGGAGAGAGAGAAGTATGAGTGATCTGCCTTGAATACCTTCGGAAAATAAAGATATTTTATTAACGACTAGATATGAAGATGAAAAAAGTTTACTTTCGCGGAAAGCGTCCAAAATGATGACCATTAGTTGATGAGTCTATCGTTGTTGAGTATTTCGAATAAAGAAACGATCGCGCACGAGTGCTAATGTGATGCACGAATTCAATTCGCTCCCCGAATACAGCCAACGTTATTATACGGTCGGTTGCACCGAGACGAGGAGCAGCGACGAATCTCGTTTATTAACGCGGATAGAAAAGTGTTTTCCCTTCTAATGTAGAGACGGCCGGCTGGCGCGAAAATGCAAATCACGCCGGTATTATACGGGGGATATCGCGTATCTTAGTCTTCCTCGCGGTGAAATATCTTTTCCGAGCAAGAGGGATATAATGAAATGTTGGAGAATCGAGAAGGAGCGATGAAGCTAAATACGCCGGGACGCAAATGCATTTTTGTGAATGCCATATCGTGCGCTGGATCGCGAGTGCACCGTTGCGGATTTTATATGTCCCGTAGCGGGACTGTGCGAGCTGGCAAATATATAAGTGATAATAATGTAAGCGACGCGAGAGTAAACGTTGTCACGATAATAGTAGTATAATTCATGCAGTTTGACCATGCGGATATGTGAGCTTGTGCGAAAATAACACTGTCCCAACTTTCCCTCGGCTGCCAAAAATCTACCTCACCTCCCCTATTCCATCAGTATCAAATCGGTATTGGCATCTCATATTGTCCACTAAAGATCGGTACTGAGCCAATATCTCGTCAGCAATTATTTCTTACTTGGGACTTGAAACCTATTTTGACGATACTGGCACTTGTTAATTTCTCCTTTGAACCTTTAATTCGATAAATTGAATTTCAATTACCTTTAACAACCTATTTTAACGCTAAAACAGTGAAAATGAAATTTAAGCAATCGTCAAGATCAAAGTAGGAGTAAATTCTATTATTAAACTTGAAATTGAACCTACTTCGCTATCTTAGCTCCTATTGCGTTGTGAAATTAAAGATATCACTTAACACAGGACCAAAATTTCGAAAGAGAGACGCGTTTATTCCGAACGAGGTAAATATAGCATACGGTCGAAGAACAAACGTGACTTTCTGTGACGTCGCGATCGCGCGACAACGTATCGCGAATCTGCAGAGCTCGACGCGAACGAGAGAGCAAAACGCACGCCGCATTCCAATTATCTACCTGTTAATCTAACTAACACAAAGCGCACAACCGCTGGTACCATCAACCGGCCCTCGCAGAATACGAGTATACTGACAAATTGCGGATAAAATCTCGTTGCGTGCCGCAGTGTTGCCTTAAAACGAGCGCAAATTAAAAGCACCGATGGAATGGACGGTCAGGAAACGTCCTCGCAAGCCAGCCCGCCCGCCTGCTCGCCCGCACGCACGCGGGATAATTACACGCGATTACAGCTCTAACGCGCCACGTTGAAGTATGCGATGTTATCGAGAAATATATGTAAAATCGACGCTATCGATTCGTACAAAGAGAGACGTGCTAACAAACGCGTGTTCGCGTACGGACGTATCAATTATCGATCAATGTTAACGGTTTTACTTACTTCTCTCTCTCTCTCTCTCTCCTTTTCTTTCTCTGTGCAACGACACTACACGTTTCCCCGCATTCTTTTTCTCTCCGCCGACTTTCCGAATTTCCGCTTCTTACTTTCCACTCACGCACGCCTTACCTATTCCTCTCTAATTCTACCTTTCGCTCTTACCAAATTATTCGGTCTCTCGTGGAACTCTTTGGCCTTCTTCACACAACTGAGATGCAATCGGCGCTGTCGAAAAGTCGCAATTTCTCTCTTCATGGCACTTTCCACTGAAGAAAGGGCAGTGTGTCTCTCACACACACACACTCTCTCTCTCTCCCCCTCTCTTTCTCTTTTTCTTTTATTCGCTCTCTCGGAAGCTAACGCGTCTGCTATTCCCAGCCCTGGCTTCCCCTCATTGTCGCTTTAAGCGGCTGAATTGTACAATGATTTATTTCCTCCAGGATCATACTCACGATTCGTCGGCGCGAATCACGCTGTTATCACTGCGAAGCAGAAGCTGTTCCGCGGCGAAGGCGGCGGCATTTCGGAGTATCTCGCTTCGAGTAGCGACGCTCTGGTAGTTGTAGGTAGCAGCGGCAATAGTAGTAGGCATTCACGGTCGGCCAGAACGCGTATCCTGTCAAACAGCGCGACGCATCTGCGAATCGGAACGCTGCGGAGTATCGCTCGGCCGAGAGTAATCGCGCGCGTCACACAGTTCGACATGTCGAGGCAATTCGATCGCGCATCCTATGGCGATTCGTGATTTTATACCGCCGATCGTACAAGGACCGCGCACGCACACGATTCGCCCGTTAAACCCCGCGTACAAGGATTATCGTGCTCTTCTTATTCGCGAGCAACTCCAGGCGAAGAGACAGGACGTTTATTTCGCCCGCCGTGTGTTGTTCCTCGCGGCAAACAGTCGTGCGCAATTAAGGAAGAAAATTATATCAATTGTGCGCGCGCACGCGTCGCAGCTTTGAGTGTTTACCTAAAAAATACACGGACATACGCGAAGGGAGAAGAACAACAAACAAAGGGAAGGGAGATTTCTCCATCTCTGGGCGCGCGTTATCGCGCTCTAAACCAGATGCCGGCACGCACGTTAAACATACCGTGAGGCCGCGCACTGATAGTTGTTTACAACATCAACGCCGCTGAGCAAACAAGTAGCGGTGCTGATGTAACTGTTATCGAATCTGATTTCGAATCAACAGGGACGAATTGAATTGAATTAAATGCGATACGAAGCGTAAAAAGAAACGTTTCCACCGCGATCGTCGCCGTCGGTCGCGGCAAATCCCTACGAAATTTGTACATTCTATCTCTCTCTCTCTTTCTCTCTCGATTTTTTGTGCATATTCCCGTGATAACCGTAATAGTCGCGCGGGATTCAAGCAATGACCGACGATCAGCCAACCCTCCATCGCCTCTTGCGCGCGCGAGGGAGAAAAAGCGCGGCTGCCGCTACGGAAGGCCGTAAAAAATTTATCGTCACCCACAGCGCAGAAATTCTCTGCATTCGTAATGTCAATCCCATTGCACAATTGACGGCGCGAATCACGTCACGAGGCCAACATGTCCTCTCTCTCATGAAATTTCACCTGCGTTTTCCGCAGTTTTTCTCCCCTTTTTCTGCCTCTCTCGTTTTTCTCTATTTTTTTATTTTTCACGTTTTTAATTTTTTCTCCTTCCTCCCTTCCATGCCGCCTCTTTGTCCCTCGGCCGGACCAGGTAATGCCGCGAAGGGCGGGACCGGACATGTCCCACTTTCGTGATGTCCGGTGTACAGGTTTTAATCCAAGACTAACAACGTGACACGGGTTAACTGTGCGGTCAGATTATACGCGCAATGTCACGCGCGGTGTCACGCGCCGAAAAGTGAACTCGGGAAACATTTCACGTCATAGATATTTCGAAGGTAATGCGCGCCGATCGTTCTGACACTGTAAACGTGGATGACGAAACGCGGTTTTCAACGCGACGCAACATATTCGTCATATCGTATAATCGTATACAGAGTGACGCATTTTTCCTTTTTTCCTCTCGGCCAACGAATATAACGCGCAAGCTCAAAATTACGCGAAAACGACTCGAGACTATTTCCGCGCGCGCACGTACGAGAGAGAGAAAGAGATCTTTCCGATATGCTAACTTTTCGTTTCCATCGTTTCCCGTAAAAAAAAAAAGGGAAAACGAAAAAAGAATAAACCGTATAACCACATATCGCAATCGTTTACGTGAAAACTACGAGAAAAGCACGGAATGGAGCGTCGCGCTGATCGTATGTATCGATGTGTAGCAGCGTGTGCAATTTCTGCGATCACTCCCGGCGAGCAAACTCCGATCGTCCACGAACCGTAGCGGCCGGATGCGGAAAAGCGGCTGGTTCGTGATCGCATGCAGACTCACGCGCGAACTCCCTCTTTGCCCCGTGCACGATCACATGTCGACGGACAGATTCGAAGTCCGGTGCACTGGGATCTCACGCTGGTGCTGATGCTCGTTGTTCATCGGGAATTCGACCGGCGGAACACTGCTTTTACCGTATTTTCCGCCGGACTACCGACGTGTGACGGCGACGACGACGTCGCGAGTCACTTCACAGTCGCCCCGCTGATCCGCACAAAAATAATCTCTCCCGTTTCCTCACTCCCGGACCGGACGATTTATTTACGAGTATCGCGACGCAACACGGCAGAGATTGTCGCTACCGAAGCCCGGAGGAGCAACGCGCGTGAGAAAAAAAAGAAATACAAGTCTCGTTTCTCTCGCACGCACGCGCGCGCGCGTGAGAGAGAGAGAGAGAGTCGACGTGCTCGCTCGTGAGGAAAGGCACACGTCTCTCTATCACTTTCGCTCGCTCGAGTTCTTATGAATCTTTTCGCGGCTACGCGCTCCGCTCTCACCCTCGTTGCTCGTTAGGGCTTCGCCAATGGACTGCCAGCCGCCGCGGCAAAAGCCACGGCGCAACACGCCGACGCATCTACCCCCTCGGCAACCCCTTCGCGGCCGCCCCCGCTTTGCGGCACCGACCTCCCTACCCGACGTTTTCCACTCGTTCTCCACGCGAGGACCCGTGCCTTTCGCGACTCCGTAAAACGCGGATGCGAACGCCGACACAGGCGATATATACCCTCCCCCCGAATGCACACACGAAAAAGGGAGAGAGAGAGAGAGAGAGATGTTCGCACGACCATTCGCGCAAAGGATAATTCTGCGTGCGATATGGAGCGCACGCGTCGTTAGTCGTCGCATTAATTCGCCAGCGGAATGTAAAATAGAATTATGGCAATTATGTTAATAGGAAAACGATGTCGATTGTTAGTTGCATTCAGACAAACGGTCAAAAAGTGTTGGATTTTCTTGAATGGCGTTCTCGTAATCGATATGTTTAACGAAAGTAACGAAATACGGTGGTAATACGGCGGGTTAAATAACGGAAAATACATTCGTTATCGCCGCATTTCGAGCCCGTCGGCTAACTATAATTTGTCATTTCTCTCATTACATTCAGGAGAGGACCGCATGACGCTCGTCGCTCGTAAAATATTCAGCGGGATTCAATCGTACGCAAAATTAAAAAAAGAGCGATATCACAAGCGTGGAGCTTTGAAGACCAGCGAAATTAAATGCTGGTGGAAAACGCGTTGACATCCGATAGTCTATCGCTCTATGGATTTGACGCATTTTAATTTGAACGCTGCAAACCGCGCGTGGCGCGCCACGGATTCGAAATATGACAGGTAAAGTTACACACACGGACACATACCCACGCGCGCGCGCACACATACACACACACACACACACACACATATGAAACGTACGCGAAAGAGAGTGGGCCGAGCACAAGAACAAATCTGATTTAACCCGTTTCATATTTTCTCCCTCGATATTCAAATCGAGATATCGAATACTTTTACGTCATTCGAAACATCCGAGTGATGGTAGGTTCACGGTCCAGAAATTTCCATAATTATGCAATAACAGTGCGTCGTCAGGTAGCCTCCGCGCCGACGACGGCTAGATCCGTCCCATCACGGCCGAACAAATGAACGTGATATAAAATTCAGAATACCGAAATTTGTGACGGCCACACGCGATGCGTGCACTGTCGTTTCCTACCTATATATATATATATATATATCCCAGGCGTATCTCTTTTAAATGTACACCTTTTATCTTAAAAGGCAACGACGAATTCGGCAGCGGCAGAAATTCGGTTGTTATTTTATTGATCTATGTTTATTTCGCGATAACGGAAATATGACGATCGTCGTCATAACGTGTATCTCTCTTTCTCCTTCTCTCTCTCTCTCTCTCTCACTCCGTAATTGGATCGGCTTCTGTCTACGCGCATGTGTGTGGAAAATTTCGTTTCACGAACGTCAGGAGTTTTTTGGCGTTCTTGTGCGTCGCTGCATTCCGAATACCCGCGAAGCGATTCGCAACGGAATCGACGATCATACACATTTCCCCGAGATCCGCATTGCTGATTGATGAGCAGCATCGATCAAGTCCATCGTTCGCGTACGCAAGCGCGAACTCCATTAACTTTATATTAAATACTTCATCATTTTTCCCGCGAGACATGTCACGCTTCACCTATTCCGCGCCGATTCGCCGATGTAGCGAATTGCGCGAACATGTTATGGATCCTTCCTTATTCAACACGAATTTTCACACGTTCTCCGAGACGTTTCTTTCATATTCACGACGCGCGGACTATCCATCGGATACGTACTGCTATTTATACGGCGAAACAGTAGTAAATAAAGCGCGGAACAAAATAATACAAATGTGACGTTTCGATGCAGAGACGATTGATTTTCGCGCCGAAAAAAATACAGCTCGGCGTCGTCCTAACGATTGAGACACGCGCGCGCGCGCATGCAAAGAGGATTAACGTTTATTTTAATTCGTCGCGGTAATTCACTGAACAAATAATCGAAGATAAATCGATGTACAGGTGTAAGCCGAAAATACACGCGACTTCGTACACACAAGGGGTTGAAACGTTGAAACGATCGAGCGCGTAGGAGCAACTTCATTTTGCAAGTATAATACAGCTGCGACGTGCCGCCCGCTCATTACTATTTCACGTGTCAATTGTCTCTCTAAAATACATAAACGATACCGTTCTGTTTCACTGTATGCTCCGCTATATTATCGGCAGTGCTGTCGCCAATGACACATCAACATATCGTTACCTGCCTGTCGATAATCATCCCGCCGGTGCGCGCGGCCGCCGCTCGTATCCGGACTTCCGTAATAATTGCATAATGTGCTAATAGCACTCGTAAAATGGTTACATCATATGAAATGATTACACTACGGTACAGAGCGGCAATTGCGACGATCAGGCCAACGCACCGAGTGCGTGCTCGCGCAAATCGCGTATTAATAATAGTAATATATAAAACGCATGTCCGTCCGTGGGAATTCGCGTTTCAGTCGTAACTGGATGTGTGGAAGCTCATTCGACGAAAGGGACTGTATTTTAACCGTCATCACAAGCGCCTCTCTCTCTTCCTCTGCCGTATTCCGCGTGTTACAGGTGCGTGCTACTTTCGTGCCCGAGCGACTGCAATTTTACCAACATGTTACCTCTCCTCTCGGAAGCTATGCCGGACACGTAACGGCGAAAGCACGAATCGCGGGGTGGCTACGAATGTCTCACGAATCATCGGAAGATGTAATGGACTGCAGGTGCGAGAAAACGTGACAGCAAGGAACGAACGAGAGAGGGAGGGGCTGAGCGGCGGTGGCGTATCTGGCGGCGATGTAAGATAGAATCGCGTTCTCTCCCGCATTCGGTGCGCCTCGTTCCTCGTATTCGGTGGAAATGAGAAATATTCATGAGACTCGGCTAATTTTGGGGAGCTTGAGCAACAACAACAACAACAACAACAGCGGCAATAACGGCCAGCAAAGCACGAAGACACATGTCTAAGAGGGACGCCCTTTTCAAGATTAATTACTGCTTCACGTTTTTACGAATATCTCACGGATCATGAGCCTTCTTGTACGCGAAAGCGAGAGAAAGAGAGCGAGTTTTTCTACAGCGATACAATTGCATCTCCGTGTCGCATTTCGCCGGGCTTTTCGCGAGAATGACTCGGAGTACGGCGCGAGTACCGCGACGAGAAGCGCAGAATGGTCGCGCGTTGCACGCCGACGGGACGCAGCCTGTTTAATTAGCGAGCAAATTAAATGTCCGGACAGCCACATCCGACATGGTCGCGC